ACAGAATACTGTACAGAAGACTGTATTCTTGGGCCTGACTCCTTTCTTTTCTCTTCAGTCCTTCTTTGCTCTTCTGCTTCCCGGTTGCCATGAGGTGAGCAGCTTTCCTCCACCATCCCCTTCTTCCGTGGTGTCTCTGCAATGAAGCCAGCCAACCGCAGACTGAAGCCATGAGCTAAAATAAACCTTTCCGCATTTAAGTAGTGTATGCCAAGCATTTTGTCCCAGCAACAGAAAGATGACTAATACAAAGGTACTACCATTGGAGCTCCTGTAGCTCTTTCCACCACTGACACTGTTTTTGCTGTCACTAGCACTAGCACTACCACCACTCTGCTGCCGCCACCTCCACCACCTCCACATTGCGAGGATCTGCTTGTTCTTTTCTAAGCATCAGACCACGGTGGCAAACCAACAACCTAGGGCACAATAACTTAAGGAGCACTCATCCCCAGGAAGGTACAAGTGTGAATCAGCAATTGAAGAACTCTGAGAATGGATGACTCTTTCAACTTTTCACCCTCCATGCTTTGCTGGCCTCACTTAGGGCAGGTCCTGTGCCATCTACCTAAGTTTTGAAGGCCTGGGTAACAGCAGTAGTGTTGAAGCCTAGTTCATACGACCACACCCAAGTTGCTATGCAGCAAGCAATGAAGGGTCTTCCCCTTCTGCCTCTGCAGGCAATCAGGGTGAGGAACTCTGCTAAAAACTTCACACAGGGGAATCCCTGCATCAGTAACCACCTCGTACATAATCGCAGCTAGAAGTCTGGGGGCTGCTCCTCCAGGTTTTCCTCCATTATAATATTGGGAGGAGGTGAGGGGAGGTGTACAAATGGTTTTATGCTTCTTAGAATCATTTTTCGGGTTTTTATAAGATACTCAAAACTCTTAAGTGAAATTTATCCCAAGTACCTCCCCCAGCCAACATCGTGAGTTGATGTGTGACCTTAATCAACCCTGCAAAAGCCAACTCAGAAAATGACCTATTTTTTAAGTCAGCAGTACTTTCAATTTATATTTGTATCACCATCATTTGAACAGTGACCAATCACCATTGCTGTCCATTCCTTTCTAAAGTCATTGTGATTTGCTTTTTAAAGTCCTGTCATAGATATTTAAATTATTGTAGGTAAAAGGATTGATGACTAACCCCAGTCTACCCCCCATACTCGTATGTGTGCTGGAGACAGAATCCTATCAGAAGATCTACAACTCGAGAGTGTGGAACCTACTAATTGTGCTGGCTGATTTCACTGTAACAGTGATAGAAAGATGAAAAGCTTTTGAACTGCAAGCAGTTTAATACAGGCAGACATAGTCAAATAAATCCTATGTGGCAGGAAGCTGCAGAACAATGCAACATCCAAATTTGCCTTCCCGGGAAACAACTTCTTTTTTATTATTTAAACTCTGTTTACTTTGACTTTACCTAGTTGGGTCTTTCCCAAAGCATGGTCAGAAGTCACTTTTTAAATTTTGCACTTTCTTTGCTGGCAAAATAGTTTCTCCAGCCCTAGCTGCAGGTTGACTCAGAGTTTTCCTTCGTCTTCATGAAGTTGACACAGTGAGAGCCTTTTCACAAGATGCTGTGTTTATGGAGAAAAGTTAAAGAAGAGGTGCTTTTCCATTGCCACATGTATTACTGCAGATCAGTTTTTAAACACAAGGCTAATAGATTTGGTGAGGTTTAATTAAGAGCAAATGTACTCTATAAGCAAAAGCTTTAAAGCTTCCTAGCTGCTGCCTGGGTTTTCATCTCTTTGCTCTTTTTTGACTAAGAAGTGAAACTCAGCCCTCAGAATAATTTCTAAGATTTAAGGAAATATACTTTCTATCACATCACTCAAACAACAAATGTAAGTAGCCAAATAACAAACATCATGAGCTTTTTAGAAAGTATTTGTTTTAACTTATAGTTCTTCAAATTATTTGACCCACATCATCGTTTACCAAATGAATTAGTGTTACATTTGAAAAGATGTTTGCCATCTATTATTACTGGGTTTTCTGTTTATTGTTATGATTGTTATTATCATTATTATAGAAATCACTGCAAATGGTAGGAACATCATTTGGTAGGAACAAACACTACTATCTTGGGCAAAGAGACTTGGCGTTTTACTTAACATTCCTAATCTGCTCTATTTCTTTTTCATAAATATTCATGTAATTTTACTTGTGCATATTAGTAATACGCAATAATGAGTTTCAATTTGGTGTATTGGTACAATGTATATAACATATCTTAACAATACTCATCCCCTTTAACCCATTCTGTCCCCGTCCTTTTTCCTTTTAGGCTTTTCCCTGTCTCTAAATGTTTATCGTCTGGCTTCCTGTCATGTCTCTTTTTTAAAATTTAAAAATTTGTGGGCTGGGGATTTAGCCCAGTAGCTCTGCTGCCTGCCTCACAGGCATAAGGTCCTGAGTTCAAGCCCCAATACCAAAAGGAAAAAAATTTTAAATGTGTTACTAATACATGCTTGCAGTACACGATAACTGCATTCATCATGGGGAGTTGGTACGTGTACACAGCATATCTTAATTCTTTTCATTTCCCTTTTCTCTCCCTTCCCTCCCCACTCCATCTCTTAGCCCCCTTACCATTTGGAAAGGATCTATTCTTGAGGGAAATACACGCATATCTCACCACCCCCACTGCCACCTTCCTATTTCAAAAGCAGGTAGTATGTAGTTTATGGTCAAAGCTTTAAATTCATTTATGCTCAGGCACAGCACATGGTTTCATAGGGAATACTGCAACGTCCCTTGGGTAGATTTTCCTCACTTGTAAAGTACGACACAAGACAGAAACATTCTATTTTTCTCTTCTGGACTTTGTCATATTAGTCAAGTCTGAAATCCTCATGGATATCCCGTTAAACCTCTGTGTTGGAAATGACAGAATGGAAAGCTGAATAAAAGAAAACCTAGAGCCCTGAGAGAGCAGCTAAGATAACCCTGGAATAATTTTTCTTCCAAATTTCTTATGGTGTAAGTTCATGCATCTTTATTGCTTAAACAACTTAGAATTAGATTTTCTGGGCCGGGGATTTAGCTCAGTGGTTCCACCGCCTGCCTTGCAAGCACAAGGACCTGAGTTCAATCCTTGGTACCAAAAAAAAAAAAAAGAATTGGATTTTCTGTTACTTAAGCCAAAAGAGCCCTAACTGATTGTGACATATTGCAAAAATGGCCTCCATTCTTCACTCCTCCCTGTATCTACAGCATATGCAATGCAATTTTGCCTCTTTTCATCCCCTTAACAAGAGGCAATTTAGCCATCCCTTGAATTTGGGCCGGACTTGTCACTTGCATTGTGCAACATAAAGTGGCAAAAACTATGTTGAAAAGTCCAAACTAAGGACATCAAGAGATGTTGCATAACACCCTGCTCCTTTGTAGAATTCTGAAACCATCGTACAAAGAAGACTGAACTAGATAAATGAGGAGACAGACTTTATGGAGAGTGACTCAGTTTACCCTGTCACCTCTTCTGAGCTATCCAAATGGTTCAGCCCCAACCAACCTACCTGCTGATCATGGATATATAGTGAATTGGTCAGGGAGGCCAACCCAGACTAGAACAGCCCGGGGATTACCACTCAAATTCCACACTGCGGACATGAAAGTTGAATAAGCAGTTGTTTTTTTAGCCATTTTGTGGAATTACTTTTAATATGGCAAAAGTTAAAATACAGGTTATTGCTAAGAGCACCAGTTTTTCTTAAATGTATGTATCCTTATGCAATATACAGCTCATTGGAGAGAGATATATGTATATGGTTCCAAAATTGTTATTAAATATATAATATACGTGAGACTCTCATACCATAAATGTAGAATAATTAAAGGTAGTACTGGCATGCTACCATCTTATCCTGTATTTAACCTATTGTAAAGTTGTCCTTACCAGAGAGAGAAGGGAACAGAAGGAAAGAATGGCCGGTATAAAAGTGCACGCAATCCAAAACCATTTATATTTAGCATGAGAGACTATCTTTGTATGCATTCATAAGTCCAATATTTCCTTCTTCCCTTGGGCTAACACTGTAGGTAGATTGCATTCTTCACACCCTCTGCAATCAAGTGAAGAAGTAGGCAACTTAGAAACCTTCTAGTGCTGGGGACAACCAACCTGCAATGAAATGAATCCTAAACTTTTTAGCACAAACTAGGCTTAAAAAATACCTCGTTCAATTTCTCCACTCATTGTCTCCATAACATTCAATTCTTTTCAACAGTCAGGCTTGGGCTGCCTTCTATGTGTGAGTCATTGTGCAGCAGGGGGTCCAAGAACAACAGTGAACATCCCTGCCTTCAAAATGATTACCCTCTAGGAGAGGAGATAAAGTACTACTTAAAGAGACTTAAAAGAAGACAGCTCTCCTAATACTGGAAGCAGGGGCCTTCCGGGATGGATATGAACTTAATCCTTGGCAGTAGAGGGAGAGGAGGAAGTCCCAGGTGGAGGAAATATCCTGAGCATAGAAGCAGAGATGGGAAATTGTAGACCACCATGTAACCGTATTCTATACTAATAACAATCTCTAGTTCTAGCCCAAATTTAGAAGGCATCTTTGATTTCCTTCCTTCTGTCCAGCCCATATCCAAGCTGTCACAAAGTCTAGCCATCTCCAACCACCAAGATATGTTAGATAGCAATTCCTTCTCACCACCTGTTATCACCCACTGAGTTGATCTGCCTTTTCCGTAGTATCCTAACTTGGCTTGCTACATCCACTGTTAATCTCTTCCAATCTTCTCCCTTCACAGCAGCCTAAGTGAGCTTTGTAACATGTAAATTCATCCTGTTTCTCTTCCATGGGAGGGGAACTGCCAATGGCTTTCTGTTGGATTGTGAATAAAGTCCAAACTTCAAGGTTATAGATTCTGACCTCTGTATTGTCTGGTCTTACCTCTCACTGCGCCTTCCCTTGCCCACCGTGGATTAACCACACTGACCTCCCAATCATCTTCATCTTTCCAAGCTCTTACCCTCTGAAGGGCTCCATTTCTCTTTCTGGAATGCAGATCCACGGCTTGCCTTCTCATGTCATTCAAATGCCTTCTCCAGTGTCATCTCCCAAGACTGCCTTCCCTGACCATCTGAAGGAGCCTTCCTTCATCATTCTCTGTCTCCTTATCCTGCTTCTTTTTCTTCTTCGTACTTATCAGTACCTGAAATTATATAGTACATTCATTTGTTCACTTAGTTCTTATCTGCATTAGTATTAGTTTCTTATTGCTATTATGATAAATTACCACAAAATGTAGTGGCCAAACAGGAATTTATTATCTTACAGATCTGGCGATCAGAAGTCTGAAATGAATTTAATTGAATGAAAGTTGATATTTCCATCCTGCTATGTTCCTTCTAAAGGCTCTAGGGGACAGTTCATTCCATTGTCTTTTTCATCTTGTAGCAAGAAATTCTGCATGCCTTGGTTTGCATTCTCTTTCTATCTTCCAAGTCAGTGAGAGCAGCTCAGATTCTTCTCCCATAGCATCACAGAATCACCCTAATACTCTTCTGGTTCCTTTTCTACCCTTTAGGATGTAATTACATGGGCCCACCTTGACAAACCAAGCTAATATTTCTATTTCAAAATCAGCTGATTTAAAACTTTGTTTCCATCTACAATCTTAATCTCTCCCTGTCACATAACCTCAAATATTCGCAGGTTTCAGGAATGAGAATGTGAACAACTTTGGGTAGGCATTGTTTTGTCTACCACCCCACACATACTGGCATATAAGTTTCATGAGAGCCAGAACTCAGTGTCCTTCACCTTGACACATAGCAGTATGTATTGTTTGATCTATGTTTATAAAACGAATTCTGGAATAAAACAGTGGGCTAAGAGCTTTACATGTATTACCCCATTCACTGTTGTACAACTGCTCTGCGAGTTTTTTTTTTTTAAACCCATATGGTGCTATTGTGCCCATTCTACAGTAAAGGAAATGGAGGCACAGAGAACTTAAGTAATTTGCATAAGGTCACATAACTAGTGAGTGCCGGAGCCACGGCACAAAGTGAAGTTGACTAACTGAGGCTATGCTCTTCTTTACCACTGTGCTATGGCCCCTCACAAGAGAGTCACGGAAAAGGAAAGGTGGAGCCCTAGGAGAATGCTCCTCACATAGATGTCAGCCTAACATGTAAGCACATGGAAAATAAGCAGGTGGAATTAAGGTTGCAAATCCTTGACACATGGCTCTTTAGTCACCATCTAGATACCATTGGTGAAGATAAATTCTTACCCAAATCACCAACTTCACGCAGTTATTTCCATCTGTCAGCTAGGTCTGGTCTCAGTCCAGCTAACCACAGCCACCCACAGGTCACTGATGGTGCTTCCAATTAGATGCAAACTTTCTTGTTTCCTGAGTAGACTTCCTGCATAGACTGTCTCTGTTTCCCTGCATAGGTAAATGGTGTGGAGCCTTGTAGAAATTTGGGTCCATCATCACCTTTCCTCTGAGGCAAGATCAGAGCCAGCCTTCACACCAACTTTGGTGGCCTTCTCCTGCATATCACTCATCCTGGTCTCACTCAAAGATCCACACTCCTTCCTGCACAGACAACGCTCCTAGTTCCAAAACTCAACACCCAGAATGGCCCAGAGGAGACAGAGCAAGGAAGGCACTTCATAACATTTCCCTCCATGCCTCCCAAATTTCCAGCTCCCCAGCCAGGAGAGTGGGTGGGTAAGGCATTGTTCTAAGAGGACCCTATTGTGTTTTGATGAATACCAGGGCCCCTCCCTCAGGAGGCTGGGAAGGAGAATGGAGAGTGGGTGGCCAACTGACAGTACTTTTCTTTTGCTGGCAAATAATCCAGAAAATGGATAATTCCCACAAACATAACCTAGTTAGCAATCCATGTATAATTCAACAATATGCTTGCTAGTCAAATAACAACTTAAATTGATGTAGGAGTTCTAAAGGAAATTTTATTTAGTTGTTTTAATTAGGTAATTCCTTGGAGAGACATTTTTCAAAGAATGTAGAGGTGAGTAACACTCAGATCAAAGTATGATCTCCAGGTCTAAGTCAAGACAACTGTCCAAAGTACATTCTCTCTCCTTTAATAATCCAACTGCAGGACAACCCCCCCACACACACCCATCTTAACCACAAGTACATGCACACACAGACATTCATACACTTCCTCCTAGTATTGCCCAATTGCCCAGGAACTCCCCGCCTCCTCCTTCTTCAATCTGTCCTGCTCTCCGCATCCAAGCATCATTCCGCCTGCATAATAACAGCACTGGAGTCCTTAAATGGGACCTGAATACACTGTGTCAGTCTCTATGTATAAGTTGATCCCAGCTCTACTACTTACTATCTATGTAACATCAGGCACCTTATCTTCTCTGAGCCTCTGTTTCTATGTACTGGTATAACTGGTATAATATCTATCTCATACTTAATACTGAGCATCAACTATATACCTGGCACTGTTCCAGGAGTTTTATTGTTGTGTAGGTATAGTAATAAGAAGCTGAAATTCCTGCTTTTAGGAATTTCACCTTCTACTGAGGATGAAATTGTTCTCAAACAAAAAATTAAAGTAATTTTAGATAAGTACTATTAAAAGTAAAACACAGTAATGTATTAGGAATAAAGGGGGAAGATGTAGTACATATCTTCAAAGATGGCCACCAAAGACCTTCACATGGTATTCATGCCTTTGGGTGTCCTCTCTACAATGAATGTCTTAGTTACTTCACTCATTGTGGAGACAAAACACTCAACACCAAAAGTGAAAAGGGAAAGGTTTGCTTGGCACAGAATTTGTAGAGGCTTCAGTCCATAATTGGCTGGCTCTAAGGCAGGGTAGCACCTGGCAGAGGGGCAACAGTTCATACCAGACCAAAGATAGTAAAGTAACAAAGGACTTTAACAGCATCTTGCTGCCCCTTTTATCTTAACTAAACTACTGGGATTAGGGTGTGTGATTACTCAGTCAGTCTACTGATTTGTTTGACACCACCCTAATCTCAGCATCACACACTCTAGATTCAGCCACCTCTGAAAAACCCTAACCCCACGATGCTTTGGGGGACATCTAGGCACAAACCATAACATTCCTCCCCTGGACCCCCAAAGAGTCATGAACATCCCTTTATGCAAAAGGCATTTAGTCCATCTCTAAGAGTTGCCAAAGTCCTAACAGATTCAGCATTGCTGAAAATTGCAAGTCCAAAATCACCTCTGAGATTTAAGTAAAACTCTTAAGCTACAAACTCCTGTATGCATGAAAAGAAAGCTAAACATATCCAACATTCAATGGCACAAAACAGACATTTCCATTCCAAAAGTTACAAACAGGGGGATCTAAACAAATGAGACAAAAGCAAGTCCAAATTCCATCAGGGTAAACATTAAAGGCCACAGTTCTACTTTCAGCATCCCAGGAAATCTGTGGCAAATTATAAACTCCAAAGGGCTTGGGTGGCTCCACCCCTGTGACACAGCTGGTGGTTGTAGCTCCCTTGGTTTCTCTCTGGGGCTGGCTCTGCTCCCTCTTTGCAGTTTTCCTTGGACAATCCTTGTTTCTGGCCTCTCCAAACTTCTGGGGTCTCCACTGCACCTTTAGCCTCACACTCATAGCTTCACAACTGCCCTCTCAGGAGTGCCCTGCCTGGCCTTCCAGGCCTTCTTCTGAAATCTGGGTGGAACCCTTCCTGACTCCACAACTCTTGCATTCTTCATGTGCCTAAAACCAGCACCACGTGAATAATGCCAAGGTCTGCTGCCAGCTGGAGCAGTAGCCAGGCTTCCTTCTCTCTTGGCTGTAGGGGTTCAGTGCCTATGAACCAAATCCTGAGGAACCATTTCCCTAAGTCACCATCTTTGTGGAACTTGGTGCTCTGGGGCTTCCTTCTCAAAGCAAAGTTTTTCACTCTTGAAATTTTGAGGCTGCAAAAAGTAGAGTCCTCCTGCTTCTCGTGATACCCTCAGGCCATGTTTTCTATTCTGTTCCTTCTCAGTAATCAAGATCTCCTCTGTTCTATATTTTCAGACAGCAAGTTTACTGGAGTTTCCTTTATGACCAAACTTAATATGTTTCAAATCATTCTACTGGACTCTTTGTTCTTGATTCTCAGCATAAATCTGGCTAAAAGCCCCCAAAAGTAGCCATGCCACTGCCTCAACATTAGACAGCCTTGAAATTTCTTCTGCCAGATTAACTAATCCACTGCCCTTAGTCTCAGTCTCAGGCAAAGTATCTGAACAGGAGAAAAATGCAGACAAACTTTCTGCCAAGGTATTACACACATCGTCTGCAGTCCAACAGCCAATGTAGTTCTTTCCAGAAGAAACCTCCTGAGCCTGGTCTTTACTGGCAGGATTTCTATCAGCCTTCAGGTCTTCTGAGCTCTGACCAGAATCTCCCATCAAGTACAGCCTAAGGTGTTCCAGCTCTGCTTTTTCAGCCAGCATCTCTAAGCCTTTCCAAACTCTTCCCACAAGCTATTTCCAAAGGCTCCTAGTTACAAGACAGGTATAGTCACAACAATGACACCACTTCTCTGGTACCAAATTTCCATCTTAGTTACTTTTCCTGCGGGGGAGACAAAATGCCCAACACTCAAACTTAAAAAGAGAAAGGGGATTTTTTTAGCTCACAGTTTGTAGAAGGTCAGACTATGATTAGCCAGCTCCAAGGCAGGTGGCACATGGCAGAGGGGCAACAGTTCATGGCAGACTAAAGGTAGCAAAGCAACAAGGGACCTTACAGCATCTTTCTGCCCTTTTATCTTATCCAGGCAACTGGGATTAGGGTGATACCAGACCAATCAGTGGATTGATGTAGTAATCACACCCCCTTATCCCCAGTCTCACACATTCGAGATTCAGCCACCTCTGAAAAAGCCCTATGATGGCGTGAGGTTTTGGGTGAACATCTAGATGCAAACCATAACACCAAGATAACTACAGCACAATGTAGAAATGCTGGGGTATTAGTTCACAAGGTAAGTCCTAAAAGACCCTGGGGCTTCTGTGTTACTGTCATTTGGATCACTCACTCTGGAAGAAGCCAGCTGCTATGTTGCGAGGAAATTCAAGTACTCTTGTGGATATTCCTATAATGAGGTGGCGATGAATGAGGCTTCCAGCTAAGAGTCATTGCTAACCTACCATGTTGAAAATGATCCTCAAACCCCAGTCAAAGTTGTCTGTGGCCTCAGCAAATTTAAAAAAAGATTTCAAGCCAGAGCCACTCAGCCAAACTGCTCCAGAATTCCTGATCCACAGAAACTGTAAGACTATGCATTGGTATTATTATTTTAAGATACTGAGATTTGATGTAGTTTGTTGCACAGCAATAGAGAACTAATACAGGGAACTTTGAAGAGGATTTTTAAAAAGGCTTCAGTGAATTTCATTAATATTGGGTTATTGTGAATTTTAAATAAATAAGTTGTATCTATATGAAGGGATTAGCAAGAGGTCAGGCTTTTAGTATCTACTCTGTAAACCTTAGCTGTGGTTGTATTTGTGGTGAAATTAGCCTTCATCCAACAGCCCTTTATTACAGACAAGACTCCTGTGGCCTAGAAATTTTCAGACATTTGCCCATAGGTTACAAAACAAGTGTCAGCCTAGCTAAGTCTAAGGCCAGATCCCCACTTCTACCCTAAGCCAGATCTCGCTTCCCTCCCTGCACCAAAAGCCACTCAAGTGAGGATATGAAAGTCTACACACATATTCAACTCCTCTGGGCCTGCTCAGGGCAAAGGACAGAGAGAATATGGAAATGGTGCATTCAGGAACAGCTGTTCTATGGCTCACCCATGAAGGTCCCTTTGGAAAGCAATGGCTGTGGCTAGATGAGTAGTTCCAGATTTTCGTGGCATTCTCTCTTCTTTGCTAATTGCTGTTAGGAACCCAGAAATTGTTTTTATATTTTGATGTGAATCACCTGAGAGGACATGGGAGGAGGAAAGAGAGAAAAGCAGATTATCTATCTGTGCCTTGCCTTAAAAGATCTTAAAACAGGCTGGCTCCCATTGCCTACTGGTCTCATTCTTCTGTGGAGCCAAGGGTGTGACCCACTTTCCTCTCTTGGTGGCTAACATTCATTCTCTCGCTGGGCATTCTGTCCTCCCTTTTACCTCCATGAGCAGCCATAAGTAACCCCCATAATTTCCTCCTTTCCTGTATCCTTCAAAGATAAGCTCACAGGCCCTGCTCACTATGAGGAATTCACTGCTACTCACCACAGAGAAATGGACAACTGGCAATAAAAACACATTAAAACCCTAGATTGTGAGTAATTTGTTCCATGAATGTTTTGCAAAATGAACAGACATTTCTAATAAATTTTAACTTAATAAATGAGCAATGTCTTACAATATGAGTAGTACATTACACCAAACGTCATGTGATCACCATTGAGCCAATGGTTCTTCTTCTCTGGCTGCAGGACTGTGAGTCTCCAACACCAAGAGGTTATGGAGGAGATCCAGTCTCTGGAAGAGGAAGAGAAAAAGACAGAGGAATCCCTCACTTCAAATAAGATTAGGGAGAGGTGGAAGATTTAGGAAACAGTGCAAAATTGTGTAGGAAAGCACCACCCAAATAAGGTTATAGCAGTACAAGTGATGAATCTGTTCAACAACAATGCAATGTCACATTTCCCTGAAATCCTCAAAAGGAGGCAAAAGCATGTGTCATTGGATAAGTTCCTTGTTAAAGTTGTATGAAAGAAAAAGATTCCACTGAGCCAATGGATAACAGTGATTCTATTAGCAGCATTGAAAGTCATCCTATACAATAACCCTGCTCTCTCACCTCCCTCACACCTGCCATGAAGGTTTTCAAAGGTAAGTGCAGTTTAATTTGTTTATTTCTCTTTATATTCTATATTTCTTTATTATTTTATATTATATTACAGTATTGTAATCATTTTATATGAATATTTTTGGATTGTGGAACAAATCATCTGAGTTTCCATTATTTCTTATGGAGAAAGTCATTTTGATATACAAGTGGCTCGTTTCTGGAACAAATTAAGCTTGTTTTACTGTAATGGAAATGAGAAAAATCACAAAGTACAATATATTTTGATGTGCCCATGCTACTTCCTTATTTAAAACTTTTGGGTCACCCCTCATCGCCTACAGAACACATTCCAACATCCTTAAGGAGGAAAACAGAGTTCTTCAAGATTTTACTAAGGCTTAAATCCCTACTCTGCCCTTGCTAGCTATTGTGCCCTTGAGCAAATTACTGCATGTCTTTGCGCTTCATTTTCTTCTAATGTAAAAAGATAGTAGAGAATTAAATGATAAATTCTATAAAACCTTATGTTAATATCTGTCACATAGTGTTTGATAAAACTTTTCTATCACTATTATAACTATTATTATGAACACCTCTGCAAACTTGTCCTCAGCTCCTTGCCTTACAACTGCTTGTCCATATGTACAATGCTGCTCTTCACCTCCATATTTTCTTGCTCTAGTCCTCTGTACATAGATAGTCCTCATCCTCTTCTAAGCCTGGCTCAAATGTAGGCCTTGAGAGAGGACGTTCTATCCAAACACACTTTCTCTGGAAGCAATCTATAGTTATACTGTCATTACCACAGCCTGGCCTGGGTAGCCTTTTGTGTTCTAAAGCATCCTACGCATGCCTCCATCACGATCTAAGAACGTATGTGTTTATTTCATTGTACAACAACCTACCCCAAAATTTATGGGTTCACAATGCTGTGGGTCAAAAATATAGCTCACAAGACATGGCTGGGCAGCTCTGCTCTGTGTGGCATGAGCAGAGGCCATTCACTCATCTGCACCCAGCCAGCACTGGTCCACCGACAGGGTCTCACTCACACACCCAGGGCTGCAGTGCTCCTCCCACATTCTCGCTCCACCTGGCCAGCTTGGGCTTCCTCACATCATGGTAGTCTCCTTGGAAGTCAGTCTCTTACAAGGCGGAAGTTATATGACATTGCTTCTAATGCATTCCATTGGAAGGGACACCCCAGATTTAAGAGAAGGAGTAGGAAATATTGGAGAGCATCTTGAGGTCACCACAACCAGCTCTCATCCCAACAAAAGTACTGAGCTTCTTGAAGGCAAGAACAGAATTCTGTTAGTCTTGGTGTCCCCACACCTAGTTGGGAATAGTGTCTGGTATGCAGTGGGTGTGTAACTATTTGCTGAGCCTAAATCCACACAAACATGGGAGTGCTCTAGAGGAGAATGAGCAGCCCTAACAAAAGCCCCAAGGCAACTCCTCTGGGAACTGTCAAATCCTCCACCCACCACCTCTGCTTCTTGTCAAATCCCTCTGCAGTGCATTCCTGCCATAAGGTGTGTAAGCAACTCCAAAGTCACTTATTTACCAAGCATCAATGTCTCTAACTCTTTTCAATATGATAAAGGAAGTTATATAGTGGGAATGTTCTATGTTTTATTTAAAGGACAGATGAAATATTAAATGTATCTGTGTAAACATTTCCAACTCTAATGCCGCAGAAGAGCATCCCCAAACAAGAGGACTCCCAAGTCTCCTTATTTGGGAAAAACTTTCCCCCAAACTCATGCTAACAGCAGTTAAAGCCAGTGGCTAGACTCACCCCTGAATCCCCTAGAGAAAGTCCTGTTGTTTTTGCCCACAGCTCATGGCAGCAGCCAGCGATTACTGCAAGAATGCTAACCTCCCAGGACCAGGCTCCGAGGCAGAGCTGTGGGAAGCGAGCATAGTCGGCTCAGACCACCAGTAACAGTGTGCACGCAGCATGGCCATGCCTTGTCTATACCTGCATTGGCACAGATACTCCACAGTTAATGAGCCAAACATTGGGAAGGAAACAAACACAACTTTTAAATGTCTGTGAGCACAGGTTGGCTTCTTTAATATCCCTGTGGCCTCACTGCTGGGATGGATGAGGTCCTTTTCTAACCTGGGTCTCAGGCAGCTGGAGTTAGCTGTGAGGGAATGAACACAGACAGAACCCACCTGACCCCCAGTTGGTGTCCTTCCTCCTTCTCTTTCTGTAGTTAGGGATGAACCAGCAGATGCCACCCAGTCTGAAGAAAATCACTTATAAAAAGTGAAAGTATTCTGATATATGAGAAAATGACCCATGTAGCAACTTTCTGGAATCCTAAGAGTGAAAAACATCACCCAACATGATGAAAAACATTATGCTGTTTCCTTACTAAGCAACCAAGGATGTAAAAGATCCCATGGCAGCAAAAAAAGAGTGCAAAGCCATTTCTTTTGCACTGCAGTCTGGACAGAATCTTAGCAGCTGGAATGGGGGGGGCAGGAGGCTGAAGCAGGAGGATTACAAGTTTGAGCTTAGCCCAGGCAATTTAATAACTTAGGGAGACTTGACTCAAAATAAAAAAAAAAATTAAAAGGGGTTTGGAATTTAGCTCATTGTGAAGGCCCTGGGTGTTTGATCTCCAATAGGACATGAGGAAAGGAAGAAAAAAAATTTTAAAAAGCAAAGGCTCAGGTGCCACCATGGAAGCGCTAAATCAAAACCATTGGTTCCACGGTTCCAGCAATCGGCATTTCATAAGCTCTCCAGGTGATTCTGATGCATGGGGAAGTTGGGGAACCACTGCTGGCAACTCTTCTCACTATGTGAGCTGTGACAGTGAAGCTCTTAGGGCCTAGGCAGCAAGAATACTTAATAATATGCCCCTATACTTACTGGACCAATATAGCTATGCTTTCTTGAGTTTTTATGCTTGCTTTTTATAGCTGCTCTACACCTTTCTGTGTTAAGTATTGACTTTTCTGAATACAAAATATTATACAAATTAAAACATTTATTAAAAAGTTACTAAGTATCATGGACTATGCTTCAATAACTACATTTTGAAAAAAGAAAACAGATTTCCAGAGATAAAGCTGTACATACACATGATTAATAAAGGGCAACGCTGGTATTCACACTCACGTGTATTAGTTATCTGCTGCTGAGTAACAAAGGACTCCAAACTAAATAACTTCAAACAGTAATATGTATTACCTGATATAGTTTCTGAGAGTCGGGAGTCTAGAGCCACCTTAGCTTTGTGATTTTTGTCTCATTGGGTGGCTGCTAAACTGCAGCCCTCTGAAGGCCTAGAGGGTGCACTTCCAGGCTTACCTGTGTACTCGCTGGTAGGAGTCTTCAGATTTTTTATGAATAGCTTTCTTCATAGATTGACTCACAACATGGCAAGTATCCTCCAGAGCACATGGTAGCAGAAAATAAAGAGACCAGTGACCAAATTTGAGGCTATAGTAACTCCTATAACCTAATCTTAGATGTAATATAGTATCACTTCTACTCTATTCTTTGGGTCCTGGGCTCTTTGTACTGCTGGTAAATAAAACAAATATAACCCTGACTCTCCAGGATCTTCTAATCTAGTAAAGAAGTAAACCAACAGCCAGGGATATTGCTCAGTGGTTCTGCCACCTGCCTCACAAGTGCAAGGGTCCGAGTTCGATCCCTGGTACCAAAAAAAAAAAAGAGAGAAGTAAACCAACAGATAAACATATGATTATAATTTGTGATAAATACTATGAACTCAATAAACAGAGGGCAGTAGAAAAACAGGGCTGCAGGTGATGGTTAGAGAACTACTCATCCAAAGTGGTAAAAACTAGAAGGCAACTTTTAAGAGCAAACTGTAAATAATGGCCTTCAAGTTTTATGGACTAATCAATAAAACCTTTTGAGCAGTCACTCCCAAAACATATATATGTTTTATTTAGTCTTATATATATATATATGTGTGTGTGTGTGTGTGTGTGTGCATATATATATATATATACATATACATACATTATAGACATTATATGCTTAACATATAGAAAAACATGATATGTAATATATAGAAGTAAAAAGATAGATAAAATTGAACTATAAAGTACTTTATGCACATAAAGTAATTAATGATACAAATAAAGAATTTTGTCCTAATCTTTGATATTTTTATTAAAATATTTTAATGAAAATTTTGTAAATAAGGTTTATCATTTTTAATCCTATGCATAAAAGATCTGATTCTAAACACAGTTATTTTAGTACTTGCTATTAGTAGCTGTACATGGAAAAGCTATCTCTCAAAGCTATTTGATTTTTTAAAAAAGGCTGGTCCTACTAAAGTATGATATTTATTTGTCAGCGCTATCTCTCAATTAGTTTCCAGTAAAAGCTGGCTACTAAATTTCTATCTTCCCCAATGTCTATTACTTGTTTATAGAAACTAATAAAAAAGTGTCTCAAACTCTTCATTTATTATTTTTAAAAAGCTACAGATTCTCTAAGTTAAATAGATATGAAAAGTTTTGAAAGGGATGTCTTTATTGTTTTTGACAATAAAATGATATAACTATTGGATATTAACCACATATCTAATTTTGAAATGCTTTATTCATGGCATTTATCTTAGTCTGTTTTGTGTTGAGATTGAGTTGTTTATAAAGAACAGAGATTTGTTTGAACCCAGCC